TTTATGAGCAAATGGAACAGCCTTCAGCAATAGCAACATAAACATATATGCACCTTCACTTTACTGTTCTATAGCACTCCCGGAAAAGTCCACATGGCAGTTTGATCCCGAGGCGGCATATATGTACTACTGTGACAATGAGACAATCAACGGTTTGGAGTTCTCCGAAATTCCGGAGCCACCAAACAACGTACCCGTCGTATGTGACATGTGCAGCAATTTCCTCAGTCGTCCGGTTGATGTGAGTCGTTTTGGGCTGATCTTTGCCGGGTCACAGAAAAATATGGGATGTGCCGGGATCACGGTGGTGATTGTGCGCAAAGATTTGATCGGCGATGAACTATCCATCACACCGAATGTTCTCAACTATCGATTGCAGGTGGCTGCCAAATCAGTCCTGAATACACCACCGACATTTACGTGAGTACGACTGATTCACAGAATGCCGTTTTGGTTAGAATTATTTTTTTCTCTCTCGGTTGAATTAAGATGCGAAAATTCGCCACGGGTCTTTTAAGTGACTTGAAAATGTACCGGCAACATTGTTTAAGTCTATATTTTCTTTATTTTAGTTTAAAAATAGGAAGCTGTACGCAGACTCCTACGGTTAATCTATTGTTTGGTTGCAGTGATTAGGTGATGTCCGAGACCAACTATTTGTCAGCAGTGCTTCCAATGCCAGGATACTGACAATATGACTGTAAAGTATAGCGAAGCTCTTCCACTTCCGTTGTACAACTGGAAGTCACCAAATAATGTCAACCCGTATAGATCCGTGTGAAGTATCAGATTGCAATGTGCCAACCGGTGGTTCAAATTTCTTCAAAATACCACCAAAAATTGATTATTTTGGCGCGTGCATAAGATCTTCATATGTACACCAAATTTGAAGTTCTCTCGTATGCACTCTTTGGAATTTGGCAAACGGTGGTTGGTTACTGCCGCACCGCCAGCCAGTTTTTGACACATAAAAGCAGTAGACGCAATCATATTAATCCATCCACAACCGCCGTCGATCAATCAGAGTCTATAGTTCCTCTCTCGTATGAAGAACATATCAACCGCGAATAAATTGAGCACGCAGTGTTCAATATTTTGAGCAGTTTTGATGAACGTTTGCCACTGTTTTATCTCACCCATTTCTCTGACTCGGTAAGATATGCCAAATTCCCACCGTTGAGGAAAAGAGCACTGTAGTTAGAGGTTGTGTAATCATGCAAAAATGTTTCATCAATTCCTCTTTGCATCAGTGGTTCAAAGATTCTTAGATGCATCAGTGTGTTCCAAGTACCGATTGCACATTGAATAACCTGAAATTCAGTATTCACCTTTATTCAAGTCGAAAATCGAATGTGAACACTGATGTGAACATAAGTAGTGCACATGCTCGCATTTCTCGGGTGGAATTTCTTCATTCTAGGTAGCTACTATGATTCCAACTGCGTCACAGTCCTCGGAAGCTTCCAATCGGCACTGTCACATACTCTCCAGGGTTATAGCAAGATGCAACTTGTTTTATTTTATAGTATGTGCGGCAGTAGATTAGCGTTAATTAGAGAATCGCCCCTTCTCAGTTCAAATTTAATTGAATAAAATTCATTAAGATCAATAATTTCTAGGCAATAATCCTCAGGCACGGTTCCATTTAAAAATCCGAGCTTGCTGAGTGTACAATTGATTGGATGAACTGAGGATTGTGTGTGAAGACACAGTATGAAGAATGGTCAGTTAAAATCACTCAAGAAATCGATAACAAAGGAGGAATGGAATATGCGATTCGATGAGGATGAGCTGTTGTCGGTTAGATAACCGTCTGCTAACTGATTTCAAATCTCACCAAACGAAGGAAACGCGTGCGATCGATCTCAACCCTTACAGGGATCGATAGTTACCAGCACGACTGAAGAGGCTTTATCACACTGTTTCTCATCTTTGCTATTCAGATACCCCATGGTTTGAGTGAGGAAAGCCTTGTGGTGCCAGATTACATAGAATGCATATTCCATTCTGATGAATAAATCAAGTACAGATTTGAGCAGACTTTGCACCACTCTATTAACATTGAAGCCGGTGTTTTTCAGGGCGCCATTTTGTCCCCTTTCTTGTTTTCCATGTATATACAAAATTTCCCCATCCCTACCAACCTTGTTGCTTGTAAGTATGCTGATGATATTGTGATTGGTTGCCCAGCCCCTATTTCAGACAGTTTTTGACCTCTCCAGGACAGTCTTAATGAACTTCACGACTGGTTTGTGACCCGATCCCTTGAACTTAACGTCAGTAAGTGCATCGAAGTTCCATTTAGTCTTAAAACTGGACCCCGTTATCTTTCATTAATTGATAATCTCCCTGATCTTAGAATTAACAATCAAAGCATTCCCAAATCTGCATCTGATAAATTCCTTGGTGTCACCCTTACCCATGACCTGTCCTGGTCCACTCATGTCATCAACGTTTTCACTAAAGTTCGAAAATTGTCTTTCTATGCTTACAGGTTCAGGAAACTGGCCGTACCGCATAATCTTATTATTAAATTTGTGATTGCCTGCATTCTTCCACACTGGCTATACTGCTCCCCGATTTTTATCCCCGGACAGAAAGAAAAAGACCTCTCTTTATTTTCAAGATCCCTTAAACTGTTGTCCCGCTACAGTGGAGTTGATAAAGCTGTTTTAGTTGATTTCTTTATTTCCAAGCATCTTGACGCTTGTGATACATTCATTGACAGGATAACGCATGATCAAGGGCACTGTCTGCACCAAGTTATCGCGAAAGCCCTGTCAATTCCCCGGACACGCTCCAAATATCAAATCCTTCCTGCGTGGACTTCCACATATCGAAACAGTATAATTCCTTACCTAGCTCGTTTACTAGTAAATCGTCAGCATATCCTCACCCAGATCAGGGAAGAACTCTTGCCCTAATTTTTTCTCTCATTTATGAATGTGCAGAATTTCTCATACTGTATTTTTTGTTTACAATTATTTTATCTATCCACTGTAAAACTCGTAAACTACTGAAAATTCACCTTTTGGGTGCATAAAGCTTTTCTTGACTTGACTTGACTCCACCATATATATGTTTCGTGAATGTGTCACAACATTTAACATGCTGACCGTTGTCCTCAATCTGGATTAGACTAATCTGTTTTGCAATCATCTATTTTGTGATTGATTTTAGGGTGTTTGGAGTGGATGAAATGTTGCGTTGGGTAGAGGATCAAGGTGGATTGGAAAGAATGAATTGTTCGAGTAAAGCCAAGTCCAGTGTGATTTATCGATTGATTGATCAGTCGAATGGATTTTACCGGTAAGTCTCGTTTGTTTCGAAATAGCGAGAAAAAGAAATTTCAGGTTTTCCTGTAGAGTAAGTGAACCTTGCTGATCATTTTTCGTGTTTCCAACACAGGGAAATTTGTTACTGAATTCTTACCGCAAGGCACTTTTGATACTATCACTTTTCGACTAATGTTCAGCGCACTGTCTTCATATATACTGCATTGCAACGCACGCAAACCAACCTATAGGGTATTGCTACCAGAAGTCGTGACACAGTAGTATTTAAAACCTTTTGTATTTTCCGGTTCATGAAAACACCCAAAAACGCTTAACACGTTAATCAATTGTTCAACACAAACCTACTGTGGGCTGACTGATGCACCCTGAATCTAAGAACCTAAGTGTTTATCGATGATGAAGGGAAGTGATAATAACTGGTGCGAGCCTGCTCCAACCGGTGTTGCCAATTCGAACTTGTTCAGCTATCGTCCTAATTGGTCACCCGGAGGTAACATATCATAGGAGTTTCATCTCCGGATGAGAGGGTGGATTTCCCATATTGATGAGCTCTAACAAAATTTTAATCGGGGTCTGATACTTCTTAATTGCTTATTTGCTAGAATGAACTGGGTACGTAAAGATTCAGTTTGAAGGAATGTCAGTTAAATTGAAATCCATTTGTTTATACTTCAGGTGTGCATAAAAGTGCTAGCAATGGGAATGATAAAATATGGGATCCGGATGGAAGTATTCAACTGGAATTCAATTAACTATCCTCATTTTTAATTAATAAGTATTGCATGTCCGGGTGATAGCTGTGGCTCGATGAATTGTGCGAGACTCGCATTCTCAGTTTACCATGTTGCACACTCAGTTCTAAATGCTGATAGAATGCAAGTGGAAAATACACTGGCATACAGGAATTATTATTACTGAAACAAATCACACCATATCGATGATGTATTTGTGGTAATCTCTTACTTCTCATATGCTGTTCATTATTTACGGAGCTACGAAGCTGTTTGTAGTGTTTTATCCGGGGCGTTCAGTACACGAAAGTTTAGACTTTTACTTCTATTGAGAAATAAGAGATTAACCGACAAAGTAGGTATTCATCATGCAATTGCAATGTTTCGGTTATGCCTCTGAGGAGCTTCACTGTTTCTTCCTCGTCAGAAGTGAGCACAAATCGAGTTTATCACTGATCGACCACGGAGGAGCAGCTTTGTGAGTTCTATATGTTGGATTACCACTGGACATTGTCAGTAACTGGAACAATATATTTCGTGTAGAATGGAAAGAATTGAGAAAAATATTGATCGGTTGGACGGACATTTGCGTGAATTATCCTTTTGAATCCTAGATATCATCCTACGAGTGTGAGTCCGTACTGTTTTAAGCCGTTGCATCCCTTTTCTCCGATGGGTTTTACTGACCGGTCCAATGTTGTGTATGCGGAATGAGGGTCGCCATGTTGGGCCAAATTCCCTCACACGAAAGTCAGCGAGTCCCTCTTTTGACCACGAACAAAGAGAAACGGGATAAATCACTTTACCCCTATTGTGTTAGTTACTTTGTTCACCACAAATACGCCTCGGATCAGTTGCAACGCGAACATTGAGTTGGTTGAAAATATCGGTGCGCATTGATTCCGCCACATGCAGAAACAGATAAACAGCAAGTGCTTCGGTTATCATTGTTATCGGCAGGTCCATCACCGTCAGATTTTCCGAGCAGAAGCGCCGTAGTCCAATATAAGCTATGGCGTCCTCTGCAAACGTATTTATTCTTTCGGCGGGTCCATCTGAATGTTGACGGGACTCCTATCTAACTACTGACTTAGTGGAGCTCATTTGGCAGTTGCCGATTGATCGAGGTACCCTCGAAAGTACTCTCACCGTCTAAGACCACATTTACCTTTCCTGACTTATTGGGATGTGTAACGGCATAGTGCATTAGGTACGATACTCCTTTGCTATCTGAATTTGCATTGGCTTCTGTGATTGGAGGATATGCAGGCCCAGTTGTGACATAATTCTCTACGGTTTCTGTGTGTAATTGGTATAATTCTACGTCTCGTCACAGTGGAAATAAGTCTTTGGTTTGCACTCGCAAAATTGTTCCGCCAGTCCGGGCAATCGATCCTCCATATGAGTTCTATTTCGCAATAGGAGTCACATTTTCTTGCGGATGATTACATCAACCGTAGGACCTATTCCGTGGGACATGCATTGCTTGTTTCTTAAAACTTTCTATCATACATATGTTTGAGAAGCTGAGTGGCGTTATCAGGATCACGGGTGATTATTTTGATTATTATTGCCTTCTTTGGTGCTCGTTCATCCACGGGTCTGAGAAGGATCCATCTGGGAGGTGTGCGCAAGACAAACGGCCCTGATTTTCTAAGATCCAATGTGCTTCCGGCGCACTCATAAAACGTGGAAAATTTGATGCATCTGTACACGGGCATACTGCAGTCCAAGTGATCTTTAATAGTCAGTGAGATAAAGATGAAGACGAGATGAAGACAAGAGCACTAATGACAGCGTAAAATACGACGAACTGGCACAAATAAAGAGATAGTTTCGGGGTTGATCACCCGGGCAAAGCTGTGATTAACCTTTCACGTTGTTTTCATAGATGGGGTCTGAGAGTATGAATGGCTACAGCGTCGTTAAAGTTCAGTAACTTTGTGTTTCTTGTGTGTAGATATCCTGAACTGCGGGGGTTGGAGTGACACAATGTTTTTTTTAATAAGAGTTGTGTAATCGAAGATCCAAGTCTTTTGTGCTCATTCGATGATGTAAATGTTTCAAACTTGTCGTCCATTGTTTTCTTATCCACACTGCGATGTGTTCGGCCATTAGGTGATGTAACTGCCTCTCTGTCCTGCCTATGTAGATGGCCGAGCATCCACACTTGAATTGGTAAATGCAGTTTGATATAGCGGGGGTAAATGAGGATCGATCGCCAAAATCCTTCTATCTCAGATTCACAAATGAGGGATTCAGTGAATTTTCAGCACGCATTCACATTCACCATAAGCATTGAAATAACACCTTGAAATCCGGGATGAATATTTAAAGTACCAATAAACTACAGTTCATCAACGTATAGACAAGGAACACCATCTGGATACCTAGTGAAAAAATAATGGCAGATGAGTACTTCCGGATACAGAGTGAGTAATATATCTGTGGACAATCTGCCTAGGCAATTTGGAACTGTCATAATGGTTCCGATCAATTACCGTGTTCTCCTACCCTCCCTCTACTCAACCCATGTGCTACATGT